TTTCAATCCACTTTGGACAACCACAAACACCAGCCCCGAGGGACCATCACCACCACTACCACTTCTTCCTGACGGCGTTGGGAAGGAGAACACAATCCCCTACCACCACCCTTGTTTTTTGTAATACCTATACATATTTATTCAGTTCCCAGGATGCACAAATATTGGGTTGTATTCGGAGAGCAACAGGTAAGTGTTGTGGTTGTGAGTTTTACGGTGTGGCTGTAACTTCATGTTTACTTCCACTGATGCTGCTGCTCCCCCTCCCTGGACTGTTCCTCTGTGCCTGCCTCTCCCATAACGTGTCTCTCTGTATTCGTGAGGCGCTGCAATTTTCTCTCTAACTCTTAAGATGCTGTTTGTATCTTTATGAATTCTTGTATTTTTATATTTGTGGTCTACTGAAAAATTTATTTAATACAGAATAATTAAGTTGGCTGTATCACATAATCAACACTGTAATCCTGAAAGAAGCAACGCTATGATGTTTCTAATTCTGTAACCTGTATGTTGGTGTTTCATGTGCACTATACTATAACTGTATCTTACCTGAAATACAGCATGAGAAATACCATCATGCTTTACTGTAATATTGTTGCAAGTAATATTACACCTAACTGTAATCTTCGTGGAATACATGACGGACATTACAGTACTATAATACAAAATATATCAGCTGGGTAGATATTTTTACAGTATATTTATCTCTTAAAATCACTCTTATATGAAGAAGTTTACATTGTTTTAATTTTACAGGGAATTATACAATATTTTAATGTCACTTACGCTAACCTCATTACAATATCCTCATGACACACACACACACACACACACACACACACACACACACACACACACACACACACACACACACACACTGTCAAGTCTGCATCACTTACCATCATTTGTCTTGGCTATCTTATTATCACCTTTTTTACTGACTGATATATCCGCTGATAGATTTTTTCTTCTCCGCGCCCTCGTACAGGTGTGTTTGAACAGGTGTAGTTGAAGAGGTGTGTGGTTGAGTAGGTGTGATCGAACAGGTGTGTGGTTGAACAGGTGTGTGGTTGAGTAGGTGTGATCGAACAGGTGTGTGGTTGAACAGCTAATCCTCTTCTAATCCACCTCCAAACCACCTATAACCCACACCTAATCATTGAGTAAAAACAGGTCAAATTACCTAGAGCGACCTAACCTAACCTTTCCTCACCTCTGCTACCGAATCGAACCCGTGTTCTCAGGTTACAAGCCGAGTGTTGCTGACCTTTCACGATGCAGCGTTAAAAGTGGTGAGGTTTGTGATCACGGAATATTTTGACCCTGTAGTGACTTATGACTCTAAAGTCTAAACCAATAGAAACCCACTTGAACCATTTGAACCCACTTGAACCATTTGAACCCACTTGAACCATTTGAACTCACTTGAACCATTTGAACCCACTTGAACCATTTGAACCCACTTGAACCATTTGAACCCACTTGAACCATTTGAACCCACTTGAACCATTTGAACCCACTTGAACCATTTGAACCCACTTGAACCATTTGAACCCACTTGAACCATTTGAACCCACTTGAACCATTTGAACCCATTGAAACCCCCTACGAAACCCCCCTAAATCAATTGAACTCCTCACTAAAAACAAAATCTAATCAACCTGGCTTCCCTCGTGTGCCTAGTCCTATAGTGATGAGTCCTGCCTGAATTAAAGAAAAGAACTTCACGTATTTCTTATGACCCTGAGATTAATTCGGGGTAAAATTACGTCCCTGGAAAACCTCGGTGGCTGATTGGCTGACAGACTACATCCGGCTCATTTTCGACTCAGCACAGATCCTCTCATTATTATCTGGCTGGCCTGGTGTGTGTGTGTGTGTGTGTGTGTGTGTGTGTGTGTGTGTGTGTGTGTGTGTGTGTGTGTGTGTGTGTGTGTGTCTGTGTGTAGGTACCCTGGATGGGTTTTTTTAAGAACTTGGGGTTGAAATAATAATAATAATAATAATAATAATAATAATAATAATAATAATAATAATTTAATAGAATACTCACAGAAATTTTCCTCCATTACCGTCTTAAGTTTTCCTCAGTGAACGCCTACACTGGCATAAGAAAGCCAGGGAAGGAGTTCATTTTTTGAGAACTCTGAAGACCGTAACCTTAACTTAAATATCAACAGTCTCCCGTTACAAACTTCTCCTTCCGTTCTTCCTTTCTTCCTTCCTTCCTCTTTCTCTCCTTCCTTCCTTCCTCTTTTTCTCTTTCCTTCTTTCTCTGTTCCTTCCTTCCTTCCTTCCTCCCTCCCTTCCTTCCTTCCTTCCTTCCTCGCTCCCTCCTTCCTCGCTCCCTCCTCCCTCCCTCCCTTCCCTTCCTTCCTTCCTTCCTCGCTCCCTCCCTTCCTTCCTCCCTTCCTTCCTTCCTTCCTTCCTTCCTTCCTTCTTTTTCTGCTCCTCCTCCTTGCTGTCGAAGGTGAAATAAAGGTTCATGATGATCACTTGACTAATATATCTTTTATCTATCTATCTATCTATCTATCTATCTATCTGTTAAAGACGTCTTGTTATAGCCTTCACCATCCACGTTGGCTTCTCAGACTAAATTTGCAAAGTTTTTCCACAGTTTTTTAATTTTTTTGTGAAACTTAAGTTGAGAGTTGTGTTGCCGGACAGAGTTACATAATTGTGCCTAATTATCTTAAGGTAACTTTTAATTTCTTCTTGTTCTTGTTCTTGTTCTTTTTTTATTATTTAATTTAATTTTGTTTTAATTTTGTTTCTTCTTTTTTTCATCTGTTTTATTTGGTTTCAATTATTTTTATTTCGTTTATATTTTTTCGTTTCTTTCTTCTTCTTTATTTTCTTCTGATTTGTTTTATTTTCTTGTTATTTTACTTTTTCCTTCATCATAAATATGGAATTATCTCTTAGATAAAATATATATACATTATGTGCGCGCGTGCGTGTGTGTATATGTATGTATGTATGTATGTATGTATGTGGACAACATATGGTTAAACTTCACCTGGACGCATTCTTACAGAGACTAGAAGTTGCCTCCCTACAGTGTAATTGCCTTCGGAAAAATGATGGCTGCATAATCTGGTGTTTATACTCACATTTTCTGGGGTCATTGCCTTTAAGCCCCAGCACTTGTCTCCGTTGCAACACCTGTAAATAATATTGAAAAATCAGATTCTACTTTGCCTGCAGGGAGTTTTCACATTGTTTGTTAATATAATGATAAATATAGCTGTCATATCATATGTATGTAATTCAAAACTGTGCTCCAACCTTTCTCTAGCCTTTGGGAATGAATGGTATACAAATTAGGGAAGATCTTTCTTTGTTCTACAGCATAACATTCACGGGTGTCCTCTTGCTGCCATTTTGACAGTAAATGAATTTCGCGGTCACATGACAAACAAACTATAGTCTTTCGTATATAGGCTTTGCCTGGGTGTTAATCGATTTGCCAATCGTGTTCCGTGGAGTAGCCAGTGCTGTTGGCGAGTTGTCCGGTCTTCTCGGACTGTTCCTTGACACTGGGTCATGCAACTCGTTAACTTAGGGTGTGGTTGTTGTGTTGGCGACATCTTCTACACCTTAAACAAATTCACGCCTATATGGTCCTTGGGCCGGCCATCCTCGTTACACGAGGGGCAGTTCTGCAGTCCGAAGGCTGAAAATATACATTGGACAAAAATGACTTATTACATACAGAGACATGGGGTGGGTGGGTCGTTTAACAAAAGCTTTCATTATTAAAGAAGAAGGGACATGAATTGAATATACAAAGTATTATAGTTTACAGTTGATGGCCCGGGCCTGGGCTGGTCATGGAGACACCAGGTGGTGTGGTGTTCACGTGGTGTAGTAACTCGTCCTCGGGTGTTGATATGAAGGACCTCACGTAGTCATGGAGACATCGGGTGGTGTGGCGTTCACGTATGTATGTATGTATGTATGTATGTATGTATGTATGTATGTATGTTATCTCCGGCACTTATAAGCAGAACTCAATTACTCATTATCTCCCAATACTTACAAACAAAACCCAAATTTTCCTAATGTCTCCAACACTCGTTCCTAAAACAACCATTACCCCAATTTCACTCAGATTATTGACTACCCCTATTTTTTTTACACAAGACAACCATCCCAATTACAACCAGATTATTGAATGTCCCTATTTTTTGGGGGGGGGTTTAAGTCAGGTATGTAATTTCAGTCAACCAATTACAAGTTGTGAGGGTTGGGTATCTGTGTATGACGTTCAACTGTATTTTGCTGTTTCAATCAACATGCAAATGACGGATTAGACTGGAAATGTAATCGGATTGAAAGAGTATCAGACAAATCTCTATTATTACTACTGCAGACAGTGTCCTATCATTGGCGTTATATTTTGCTAGGGGCGACAGACAGAGACAGACAGACAGGCCGACAGACAGGTAGGCAGACACAGAGATTAGTACATTATATTGTGTGAACTGTCTTAACTTATGTTGTACGTGTTCCTGCTCTGGGTAGGTTAAATACTGTATATTGTTACTGATTTAATTATAAGTTTAACTGTTGTTTTGTCAACGGCTAAATTCTCGAACTGAGTAAACTTCCTATTTAGATATTTTGTCATTATTGTTTCTTGTATTCATTGTAAATAGTTTATATTATTTATATTGTTATTTTATTTGTTGGTTCTGCTTCACCAATATCTGAGGTTAACCAGTGTTTGAAAACGTTACATGATAAACAGTTACATTAGCTGAGAACCCAACACAAGGAGAGTTAACATAGCAAGACATAGACACAGACATATAATCCATTTAGCTGCTCATGTTTTTGTTTCCTGTATTTGACGTCTGTCTACTGTACCCACAGACAAACAGACAGACAGACAGACAGACAGACAGACAGAGAGACAGACAGACAGACAGACAAAGCCCACTGTCATTAATTTTCATATATTGTAATTTATATCTTTTTTATTTGTTTTCCAGGACGTTGTTGGGGTCATGACCAGCCACTGAGTATAAGAGGCCACGTGTCTCCTGGCGGTAGAAGCAGGATATCTCGTTCCAGACCTTTGTTCCAGATACACAGAAGAAGAGAAAGAGGAGAAAAGGTTTCCAGGTCATAACGACAAGGCTAATTAGAGGTTCAGGCTACGGAGGCCTTGTTAGAGCTTGGACGTGACTCAGCAGGAGAGAGAAAGACCTGCACCTCAACAACAACAACAGGGAGAAAATTTATAAGTAAAATACTCAACATCAGGAACCAAGATTAATACTTTTCGATTCCTGGAATGAAAAAGTGATCAGAGTTCTAGTTTTACACCGGAAGCCTAGTACTGAGGTGTTCAAAGTGCACTATGTGATCTATCTCTTGAAAAGTATATGCAGTTAAATGATTGTTACAAGGTCTCAAAAACATTTAACACTTCAAGTTACTTTTAAAGTGATTTTCTTAACCATCTCACTTATAAAGTTTTGTGATAACTAAAGTGTAAAATATCCAAATCAATATTAGTCTTGCAACGGCCCCCCCCCCAAAAAAAAAAAATTAAAATAAAAACTGATGCACTTAATGTGTTAGTCAAGATTATGTAATATAACCCGTAAATAAATCCAGTTCCTCTTAACACGGAGTAACAGTGAAGGAATCATTAAAGTCATTTTCAAGTCGTGGCAGAAGTAGATGGCGAAGAAACTTGCCAGAAATTATTGAGAGAAAAGTTTTGGTGGGTGGTGTTTGTAGCACCTCAAGGCTGCCTGAGTGTGACCAGCCAACTCTCTCTCCCGTGATGGTAGTTGGTAAATAGTCGGGTATTTAGTGAAAGAACTGAAACATATACTAGACTTTTAAACTGTTCTCTACACCATTAAAACTTAAAGACTGATGCCAATTCCCACGTGAGAATTTAACTAGTTGATACAAAAGTGTACTTAAGCGTTAATTATGATAAAGAAAATACAAAACTTCGGTATATTTCGTAAGTGTTCGTGTGTAAAAGTGTACGAAAACTTATCCAAGAATCTATTGAAGAATTATAATCAATATGGTTATATAATTAGTGGAGAAAACACGTAAAGATTATAGATGTTTATATATTACTGAAGATATAATAAAGTTCATAGTGTAGAGACATGAATACTACAAACTAGTGAATATGACCCGAAGAAAACAGAAAAAAAGTGTCGTTACCTGTAGTGTCGTGGAAGAAGACTTGAATTATGAGAAAATGTCTTAAGCGGTGAAGAGTGATGATGGCAGGACTTACCTCAGGGGCTCTCCTCGTCACCACCGGACCAGCGCTCACCCTCACTGGTCCTTATCTATATTTTTGGGTAAAATCATGAATACTGAACAGATTCCCAATGAAGAGCATCGCGGCTGTAATTAGAGACCATTGGCTTAAAAATAAGATGAGGGGTAATGAGACGGCGTCGCCCACTGCCCTGACCTCTTTCCTGGAGGAGAGAGAGTCAAACAGCAGTGTGCCGAGGATGGATGGCGTGCAGTCTCAGATGTTTGACAGCGGGGGGCAGGAGGACATCAGCCTACCGTGGGGCATCATGTCATCGGCGAGTAACAGCGTGGAGTGTGTTTGGTCCGGCTACGATAGCAACCACACGGATGACCTGACTAGTGATATAGCATTCCATTGTAACGATATGTTGGAGGAGGTGACCCCTAATGTCTCCTGCTGGGTGACGAGTATGAGAGACTGTATCAGAAGTGACGAGATGTTACTGCCAGACGAGGTGTCCAATCACATGTCCTCGGTAAACTCAGACTTGTTGAACACGACGTGGACTCATACGTGTTTATCTTGCTTTCGTGAGAACTCCACCTCCAGCTTCTGGGCGCTCAGATTAAACACGAGTGAGAGGTTCTTTTCTTCCTTCTTGTCCTACGGTAGCGAACTCCTATGCTCCTTCGGGTCATGTTCATCCACCCTATGTGATAACCTGACAATCAGTCCCTCATCCACATCCACCTCTTCCTCATCCTCCTCTCAAACCTCATCCAACACATCGTTACCTATCCTACCCGTGCCATCCTTACAGCCTTCGTCAGGGCCTTCGTTGACTCTCCACCTCATGCAGTGTAGGATTCCAGAGGCGTTCCAGTTCGACGGTCACTTGTCGTTTAACCTCACCCAGAACGACGATCTCTTCCTCAACACTACTGCAGGAGGCGACGACGAGGAGTACGAGTATGACTTCTCCTTCCTCTTCCTGGCCATGTTCATCCTGGCTGGAGGCATTGGCAACATCCTCGTCTGTCTGGCGGTGAGTCTCCTTGTTGTGTTGTTTGGGAGAGAGAGAGAGAGAGAGAGAGAGAGAGAGAGAGAGAGAGAGAGAGAGAGACCATTGCGTCACATATCTAGGTCATTGTATCATGTGTACAAGCTATTGTGTCAACTATACAGGCCATTGTGTCATGTATACAGGCCATTGTGTCAAGTATACAGGCCATTGTCTCAAGTATACCGGCCATTGTCTCAAGTATACCGGCCATTGTGTTAAGTATACCGGCCATTGTGTCAAGTATACCGGCCATTGTGTCAAGTATCCAGGCCATTGTGTCAAGTATACATTGTGTCAAGTATACACGCCATTTAATCGAGCATAATGAAAGGGATATTTTACCTCGCCAAATTCACCAAGCACTTACTCTCCCCTGGTCATTTCGCTCTACAGTCCCCCCCAAAAAATCGGAAATTGTAGGTGGACGGATTTCCAACATTTCTTTCCCCTGAAAATTCTTCCTTCGTTACCTATTCCACCTGCAACTTGCAACACGGAGGGAGGGGGTAGGGGGGGGGGGAGAATAATGGACCACTGATTGACCTTGACATTAGTGCATAGATTGCGATGTTCGTTTGGGTGATTGTCATTGTGGGGCTTAATTTTGGGTGGATTAATTCTATTTTTTTCATTGGTAAACTTTTTGAAAGGATTTAAATGGGTTTTTTTTTAAGCTTTGGTGGATTTTTTTGGGGTGTGTGTATTTCTCTTCCATTCCTCTCATCTCCTTTCTTACCTTCCTCTCATATACCTCTCATTTTTCTCCCATTTCCCTCTCACAGCCCTCTCATATACCTCTCATCACCCTCCCACAGCCCTCTCATCTCCCTCCCACAGCCCTCTCATATACCTCTCACATCTCTTTCATTTCCCTCCCACAGCCCTCTCATATACCTCTCACCTTCCTCTCATATCCCACTCACTTCTCTATCACCTTCCTCTCACCTCTCACCCAACCAAAGTATTTTAATAAAATTCCACGGCGTGATAACTTGCATAGCGAAAATGTCTCAAATCAGTTAAGTTATTTTCATGTATATTTTTTGTCTGGGGTGAGGTGTACCAGGTGTTTGTTTGTAGTGTAGGTTTTCTTGTTTGGTTTGTGTGTAAAAGTGTGTGTGTATGTTTGGAACGTGTGTGTATATTATTTGTGTATGTTTGGAACGTGTGTGTGTGTATATTATTTGTGTATATTGGTGTAGATGTTTGTAAGAATAATATGCGTGTGTATGTATGTATGTATGTATGTATGTATGTATGTATGTATGTATGTATGTATGATTTTGAATTAATGAATGTATAATAATAATAATAGTAATAACAACAACAACATTACGTTACTCTAGGCTCCGTATACAACACGTAACAAACATCAACAGAGAAACAGGTCCTAACAACAGTGACAGAAATATCATGTAAACCTTCCCTCATCCCTAGTTAACCTTTGACCTCTCACACACAACACCAAAGACGATGAATAAAATAGTCCTAATAGCAACTCGGAAATAGGGTGTAAATAGCTTGCCCCCTTCCACTCCCTGTAAATGAAAACGTGTAGTGTGTTTTCCTCCTTCTCTGTAGAGCCGTGTGCTGTTGAAGAAAGCCTCTGCCCCCGCCCCGTGAATTAAGCTTATTCTCGTATATGATTTCCTTAAACAACATCCAGACGTTATTATATATATATTGTTAGTAATGAAAGTCAAGTGAGGGAGTTGACTGATGGTAAGAAGATTTAAGAGTCACTTCTCGGTAATGTGACCAGAGTTTAGTATTGTGTGTGAGCAGTCAAAGATGTGTCCTATTTGACGTGGGTGTTATATATGTGTGTGTGAATGTGTGAATGTGTGTGTGAATGTGTGTGTGAATGTGTGAATGTGTGAGTGAATGTGTGAATGTGTGTGTGAATGTGTGTGTGTATGTGTGAGCGTATGGTTATGTGTGTGTGTGTATGAATCTGTTTGTGTGTATTGGTATGTGTTTCTCGTATTAATACATATGTGTTGGGTTAGTTTAGGTCTGATTAAATTAGGACCGCGGTGGTAGAGTGGACACAGCTGCCGTCTCCTTTTCCGGGGGTCGGTGGTTCGATGAGCTCTCCCAGTTCACCCAGATATAAATGGACTCCTATGTTTCCAACTTTGGTACCGAGGGCAGTCATGTCTTTGGGACCCACTTTCTTTTTAGGTTAGGTTAGGTTAGGTTAGGTTAGGTTAGGTTAGGTTAGGTTAGGTTAGGTTACGTTACGTTACGTTAGGTTAGGTTAGGTTAGGTTATATTCGTATAAGTTTAGTTAGATTATGTTTAGAGTGTTTGATTATCAGGTGAAATAAACAGGGTCTTAAAACCTTCATGAAATTTGGCTTCGACCCCACACAAGGCCTGTTAGAGCCATTACAGCACAAGTATGAGGTTTGAATTGATCATATGCTGCGTCAGTGTTGCTTGTTGCCGCCCTGGACGAAATAGATTCTCTTACTAATTAACTCAGTCAGGGGTCAGTGTTGATGAAGCCACCGGATACAGCTCACACAGGTAAGGCTGTTTTGGTTATCACATTAATTGTTTTAATTAAGTTCTGGAACTCTTTAAGTGGCAGGGCTTCATGTAAAGACAGACTTCTTGCTGTTTTTCCTTTATTGTCGAAGCAGCTTTATACACAGCAATAGTCTGAGGGAATAAATTATTAATTCTCTCTAGGGAAGTGTTGTGAATACACTTTCAGAGAACACTTGAGTGACCTGCTCCTCCCTGTTCAAGTGGTAAGATTCTGCTCCCTCCTCTAGGCGTGAGAGAGGCGTCAGCCGGCTGTTTGGTTACTCAACTGACCTGCGCCTGATCTCGGAGATAGTTACAAGCTCAGCCGATTATTATCGTCAAATGATTGATTCATTGTTGAATAACTTGGTGAATAAATTAGTGTTATTCATTTGGGTGAATATTTATATAAAGTAAAGGTGCTGTTAGAAGGCAATGCCCCATGTGCGAGTGTCCTGCGGCATCCAGCGACCACTTGAGTAAACACACTACCTTGGTGTAGCGGACAAACATATGTGTTTTCTTTGACGTTCCCGACGTAGTATAGTTGTTTGTATACGTTTAAGACGACAGATGACCTACCTGCTACCATACACATAGTAAAACTCCATTCACCGCGGTCACAATATCCCAAATCAGAGCTAAACGGGAGTCGTATCTCTCTCTCTCTCTCTCTCTCTCTCTCTCTCTCTCTCTCTCTCTCTCTCTCTCTCTCTCTCTCTCTCAGTACCCTAATCTGAACCCCAATAAATTCGTCTCACCCACATTCTGAATTCTTCGTCTTTTTGGATCCATTTTTTTTCTTGTCTTGTCCCTTTGAGGCTCTTACCTTCACCTGGCTGAGAGGGTCCAGGTATACGACATTATTTTCAAGAGCACAGTGACCTCTTGCTATTGTGACTGACCCACGCACTCACTGGGTTGGTTGACTCACTCCACGCACTCTTTGGGATGGTTGGCACACTCCACGCACTCACGGGTGTTGGTTGGCTCACTCACTCCACGCACTCAGATGGTTGGCACACTCCACGCACTCACTCAAGAAGAAGAGAGTAAACTGTTATTAATTTTTTTTTCTTTTTCCTTTATTTTGGTGGGGAAGGTTTTTAGTGTTTTCGGTTTTGAGAAACTCCCCAACAGTTTTCCTTTCTTCTTCTCACGCAGTTGTAGGTTCTTGAGGAAATTCTTCAGTGACTGGGAGAATAATGTGTGGATATCGGAGTTCTTGAACACAGTCCCTCGTGGGTAGGAGTTAACCTTTGAGGTGTTGACGTATTTTCAAGAAGTCTTTCGCAAATTTGATGGGATGGTTGGGGGAGGAGACCATGAATTTGGACTTCATCGTCGTCTTTATTTTATTCGTCTCCATTTTCATCTTCATCTTGAATTCTTCTTCTTCTTCTTCATCTTCTTCCTTTGCTTCATCTTTATTTTCTTCTTTCTTCTCCATTTTCTTCTTTTATTGATGCAAGTTCTAAAAGAAATCTCTGAGACTCATAAAAGAAAACCTCGTCAGGTACTGTTGATGTACCCAAGATGTGTTCACAGTGTTCTTCTGGCGACATCAGAAACTCCTCACACACACACACACACACACACACACACACACACACACACACACACACACAGAGCTACAAGACCTCGTCAGTTTATTGATCCAAGTTCATGAAGAAATCCTCCTTAGACACAAAAAATAAACCCTTGAGAATTAAAAAAAAAAAAAATCCTCAGCTAGGGTAGGACTGCCCATGGAAGCCTCCGGTGCTCTTCAAGAAATTCTAAGGTGACTTTTAGAAGCTTCCCACTAGAGCTTCGAGGACCACTATGAGCGCCAACCTTCCCCTTCTGGATGACCCAAAGCTTGTGGCATCATCTTCTTCTGCTGCTGAGTAGGAGAAATAAGAAGTACAGGAGCAGGAGGAAGAGGGAGAAAGGGGAAGAGAAGGAAAAGACGGAGAAGGTTCCTATGTCGTCTGATACTCAACCACAAAAGGGAGAATCCAATCTTGGCAGGAGCTTTTGGTAAAGAGGGAATCTGGAATAAGTTTCGCTGTCAATCTTCTTTTTTTTTCAGTTTCTTCTTCCCTAAAGGTGAAGGGGGTAGAGCCTGTGTCTTCGTTTACGGTCAGTAGATTAAACAGATCGTGAAGCTAAAAGATCCTGCACTTGTATTGAACTTAAGGTGTTCCTGTGTGTGGGGGGGCTGAGGGAGATCAATAATGCAACATTTTACTCTCAGAAAGTCTAGTGTGTAGAGATGAATGACTCTCTCTCTCTCTCTCTTCGTCTTCCTCACTTCCTCCCCCCATCTCCTCTCTCCCCTCTTCCTTACCTTTCCTTACTTCCACTTCGTTCCCTTCCTTCCTTCCTCCTCTTCCCCCCCTATCTTCCTCTTTCCTCCCTCCCTGTAGGTAGTAGGAAGTAACAAGCAGCTCAGCATCAAAGGT